TGATTGGCAACAAAAGATTCTCTAGGTTGCCCAGCATACAACTAATAGATGATAGGTTGCTCGGCTTGGTCTCTTAAGAGTAGACTCGTCCTCAAAGACTGGAGAACTTCACCAAACTGATTGTGCACACCAGCTTATAGTATACTTATAACGTGAATTTAAACAAGATGCCAGGGTTGACTGTTTTCTCATGAGAGTATAAATTGAGTGACACTTAGGGCTGTGCAATTTAATCGATCCTGCGATATATATTGATATTTAGTTTTCCGAGAAAGTATCGATATTTCAGCCGCGGGTATCGATACATTAAGTCTGATAACAGGAGAGAAGCTTTAAAAAGGAGACTAATTGAGTCTCTGAGAAGGTTCAAATGTATACTTTAATTAGTAAAAAGCGCGGTAATGTTACAAGCAGAAGATGGTTCAGTCAGAAAAACAGCTGTGTTCCGCTGCTGGGGTCCGGCCCTCCACGTCTCCAATGTTCGTTGTTGCTTATTACAGAGGATTCAGACATTGTACATTAAATATATAACTAAACACGCCTTTTCTCCTCCTTATCTCTTTTGATGACTTTTCATTTAATACATTTTAAACGCTGTAATCAATGCTCCAAAAATACCTCACGGCTGGTATTATTTCCGGTAGTTCCGGATGTTGTCTCATGCTACCCACGTCTGTAAACAAACGTATTCAAATAAACTGTACCTTAATTTAATATTCAGCAATAATAATATTTCGACGTCTATAGTTGTAGTGTTGAAATCTGTAGGTTTCAGTGTGCAACACTCCGTGTCATATCGCTACTAAATTCACCTCTATAGTAAATGGTATATTAGCCACATGCTAAATGCTAACCGGAGATGAAGGATTTTCAGAATAAAAGCTTAACAACTGGTTGTGCACAAGAACTTCTGGTTTTTCAGTATAAAACAGCATTTAAACTGACGGTATGTTTAACCTGTTAAACCCCGAGCCTGTTTTTCAGGTTTCAGGCTCGAAAATGACATTCCCAGAACAAATGACTATAACTTCACTTCTAAAAGGTTTATATGAATAATTGTTGTTATCAAAGCAAGGTTACATCTGTGAGTTGGATGTAGAAGTGTCAGAATCAATATAGATTTTTCTGTGTCAGAGTAAATTCAGATGGAACATAGCAAAAAAATGTAAATTCCTGTCTCCGCCTAAAGAAAACCCATTACTTATAGTGAAGACCAACCTTGAATGATGGGTTAGTAGCCTAAAAGCTTTAGGAATCCAAAGTATAACATATACCCTGTACCCTGTATCAAGATTGAGGCAAAACAAGTGACATTTGACCTTTTTAGAGAGGTTTATGAAAATAAAGTCCAGGCGGAATAAGCTTTGGGCACATTTGGTTCCATCAGTGCCATTTGACATTTTTCAGGTACCAGACTATAAAATCATTGCATTACATTGAATCATCACTATAGGTATTCATTCCACCCACTCTTTTTTTTAAATTATTTTTGTGTGAGTGTGTGTACTAGGTGTGTGTAAATGTAGGTGTGTGTGTGTATGTGTATGTGTAAGTGTAGCTGTGTGGGTATGTGTAGCTGTGTGTGTAGGTGTGTATGTGTAAGTGTAGCTGTGTGTATGTAACTACCAACGCACTATACAATAAAACCACACTGTAGGTCATTGTGTGTAGGTGTACTTGCACAATTAAAAAAAACAGAAACATAGGTAACATTTGACTCCAACTGGGGCAGATTTATTTCAAACATTTTACCAACACACTATAGGCATGTAAAAACAAACATTTTACCAATGTACTATACAATAAAACCACACTGTAGGTTTGTAAAAACAACAAATATTGTACCAACACACTATACAATAAAATCACACTAGGTATATAAAAACAACAAGTATTTTTTTTTAAATAAACACTCGCAAAACGTTATACCTACCTGAACTTTATACCTACCTGAATGTTCCAGTATTTAGGTCGTGCCACTCCCTGAAACAGTTCTTTTTGACAGTGAAGCACAGAGGGACCTGGCACTTCCTGCAGTACACAGGTGTCTTCACCCTTTTGAGTCCAGCATCTAGGCCCCTCCTGCAGTTCTTCCTGACCTTGGTGGCATCTTCCCCATAATACTCGGACATGCATGTGAGTGATGGAGGAGGTGGTGGAGGTGCAGGGCCTTCTGCAGGGCCTTCAGCAAACTCCAACAATTCTGCAGCAAGCTGCTCCCTGAAAGTCTTCTGGGTGTGTGGCTTTGTCCTGCTGGGGTCACTCCTCATCTAACAAATGTGGAAAAACAAAGAGATTAGATTAATTCACTGGTTTATACTTATAGGATAATATTGGACTATAAATGAATAATATTACACCAAATAAATAAGTAAACACATGTATATTCATTCACTGGCCATTCATTTAGAAAATGTAACTCCAAAAAGACAAGTAACACTATTTAGCATTTTGCTAATCATTCCTGTTGGCTAAGCTAACACTGTGATGCAGTACCACCAAACACAAAAGTAATATATAAAAAGGATAATATTGGACTATAAATGAATAATATTACACCAAATAAATAAGTAAACACATATATATATATTCATTCACTGGCCATTCATTTAGAAAATGTAGCTCCAAAAAGACAAGTAACACTATTTAGCATTTTGCCTAATCATTCCTGTAGCTTCTTGGCTAAACTAGCACTGCGACCAGTTCCACCAAACACATAAGTAATATATAAAAACAGAGAGATTACATACCTTTCCCGTGGTGGAAGTTCAACATCCGAGTCACTACTGTCCGGATCCAGGTCTGGCTGGAGGAGATCTTCATCATCCGACGAAGAGTCATCTGGTATGAGCTATCGTCAGCTAGCATCTCTAGCACCTGCTCGCCTCGGTGGTGAAGCTCTCCCTTCTGGCTGCGTAATGCGTAATGGAGCCGGAGCGGGCGTAGTTTATACTACGCAGGATCATATCTTTGGAACCCATTGGTCGATTTGGGTGATTGACACCTTTTCTGAACCGTTAGAGCCAATAGAATCGAGTGACAGTTAGTAAGTCCCGCTAAACACTTACGTCAAGTAGAGAGAGGTTTGCGTAAACAGCACGTGAGACAGCATTAGCTCGGGACTGCGAAACTTTATACCTACTCTGCTGCCATGAATGTAATGATAGATTATCAGGAACAATTCTAAAGTGACTAATAGACATTGGATTAACCTTAAGCAGCGTTTGTATTCCCTTGAACACGAGCTTTGATCACAAAACAGCAACGGTAAGACATCATTATTGTTATGGTTTTGAAAACTGTTGTTTTTTTTCTTCTCTGTTCTGGTTGATATCTCAGTGAGTTTGTGTCCTACAGTGATGATAGTTATAACAAAATAATCTGTGGAGTTCAGCTTTCAGATGATATGTAGTTTGTGCAGAAAATATTAAGTTTTAAAGATCGTTTTTGCTAGTTAGCACCGGAAGTAGCATCTGCCCGTTTTAGCTAAGGGCTAATGCTAACGCTTCTTGTGAGACTTGTGTTTTGTTTCGGTAAAAATGGTTCGTATAGTCAGTTAGCTGAGATTCTTCTCGTTAATCTGGTATAACACATTAATAGGTTTTTAAATATTAAGATGCCCTGAGACACAGTGTCGTGAAAAAAAAAAACAGGGTCCCCGCCGGCGGGGACCTTCGGGCTTAACAGGTTAAGATACTTTATGCCATCAAAACATTGATTTTAATTTCTAACAAGTCCCATTCAAATCCCCCGTGTTCCGCCACCTGCTGCACCTTTTAATTCTCCATTGTCCATTGTGATACTGCACTTTATGTACTTACGTTTCAAAGGCTTGTAAGCTACAGTTTGCACTGTTTCAATAAATGAAACTAATTTTCTCACCACATCTTTTGATTCATTTTGTCCAGCACTTGCAAGCTGTAGACTCTCTGTCAGAGCCATATATTGTATAATTGATGCTTTCAGTTTTCAGTTGAATTAATTCAATCCAAGTCAATGGAACACTCACAAGATGTCACCAAAATCACACTGTCCCTTTAAAATCTTTCAGAAAATGATATAAGTGTATCGAATCGAATCGTATCGTTGGCTGAATATCGTGATATATATCGTATTGTGAGCTGAATATCGTGTATCGTATCGTGAGATTAGTGTATCGCTACAGCCCTAGTGACACTGTGTTTTGAGTAAAATCATTGAAAAATGAGTTTGTAGATCTTAGTTTAATGAAAACAAGCAACAACTCAGCCCACGTTGGACTCAGGTACAGTATAGAAAATATGATACAGTGGATAGTAATAAAAAGAACAATATAATTGTTTACTCCACATGGACCGTCATTTCTGATTATAGACTTTGACCAAAACTTTTTGCAAATTAGCCTATTAACATGCTGTTCAATATGTTAAGTTAGTGCTTAACATTTGTATATTATTTATCATTAGTGTTATGCAATAAAAACCACTATAGTTATCTGCGTTTTTACTTTAATGCATTGGAGAAGATGGTAAGTGTGATAAGAATGTGTAGACATTGCAATGATTTCATGTGAGCTGCAGGAATAGCCAGAGAAAACTGCGTTATGTGCTGTTAAAAGTGTTTGTTCTGCTGTGAACATTCCAGAGTCCTGCACCATATTAGAAAAAGGCAAATGTGTTGTAGTGTTGAACATGTGTTGTATGCTAGCAAGTGTTTCTTCGAAAGCGGTATTATACAAGTTTCCTTTTTGTGTCCCAGAAGGTTAAATCTGTAAACGGTGTTTTTGTTTTCATGGTTTTCAGTAATTCAGTGTTGCATAATGTTGCTTTGCTCTACCGTCCTGAAAGAAAAGCACAGCAGGACTACAGTAATGAAGTGTAATTTCTTAGAAATGTTTAACAAAAAAAACACAAACAACATAAGGAGTGCGCCAAAAAGGACTTCAACTGAAAGCTACTTCTAAAATGAGAAATTAAATCTTGTTAATCTGTAATAGTATATCTCTGCTTTCCACCTCACAGCTTCGCTGTGCACACCAACAGTAATTTCCGACGCGTTCCTGCCCTTGGTTTGGAGTCCAGTGCAACATTGTCTGTTGCCAACAGCACCAGAGGGACCCATTTCATATTTGGACCTGCGTCGTCGTCTGCTCCTGCTGTTGCTGCTGCTGCTGCAGTGACTGCTCTTAGATTGGCTCAGATTGAGACTAGGGCGCAAATTGCTCTCCAGCAGGTTGCCACTCTTGCAACCATAACTATTGGCAACCAGTGTCACAACAACGGATTGTCAGTAGCATTGCTTCCTCATCTGGCTCTCCTGAACTTTCTCAGTAAACATCAGGTATATGCTGTTGGGGCAAACATAGACATTAACAACAAAATCTACAGAAAAAATCAACAGAATCCGTCTTCTGCCATGTACCACCACCACAACAACCAGCAACAAGGGCCACCGCCCTTCTCTAATGGGTCAAGACCTCCCCATCATCAGCCATCTCAAAATCCACATGCAAGTCGTTCTCCCTCCAATATGTTGTCCATGGGCTTCCAGTTTCCTCGTCCCACCCAGCTCCCCGCGGAGCTAGAGTCTGCCCTGGCTATCCGGGGTGCTAGGGACATGGACCACCGCCTCATTGACCACACAAACCGACAGAACCAAGGCTCAGGTTCTGGTATCAGCCAACATGGAAGCTACGGCTCCAACCAAATAACACCTACCCCTGATAATCAGCCTGACCATCAGCAAGGAGTAGACTGGTCAAACTACCAACCTCCATCTAAACTGTTTGCCAGTCCTCCACCTAGTAATAGCCACCAGTCCCAGCGACACCAGGGGCCTCAACAGCAGCCACAGAGCAGCCATGCTGGAACAAGCATGCCAAACTGGACTACCACTGACTCTGCTTCATCCACAGCGCGACATCCCCATGGTGGCAGGAGTGGTGGTGGTGGGGATGGTCAGGCTTTGTACACGCCTGAGAGTGCAGGAAGCATCTTGGCTAGCTTTGGACTTTCTAATGAGGACTTGGAAGTGCTGAGTCACTACCCAGATGATCAGCTTACCCCAGATACTTTACCATTCATACTCCGTGACATCCAGATCAACAAGTCAGGCACCCAGAAGACTGTGGCTCCCACAACCTCCTCTGCATTCTCACGTGGGATCCATGATCCGTCTGCTTCCAACTCTTCAAAATTGGCGCGTTCACGCTCACCGGAAGTGCCCAGTCTGTTGACTGTTACACAGACAGCAGGTAAAGTCATCGACTATGGTCATGCAAGTCGGGCAAAGGAGGAGAATAATACCAGAGAAACTTTTAAAAGAGAGCCGCTCTCCAGCGAAAGAACAGTTAAAATGTTCCCATCTTCATCAGCCTCATCGGCTCCAAAACTAGAAAAAACTGAAAAGCGACAGGTTCGTTTGGAACACAGTGAATCAAGCAAGCACGGAGACCGGGACTATCGCAGGGCGGATAGCGACCATCGCAAGAGCAATCGAGCATCAGGGGGAGGATTTACACCATCATTCAAATCTCGTAATCTAAACCAAGACTACAGGCGTGAAGGACCCAAACCTAGGCCCTCACCTGAAACCAAGAACGAAGCTTCCTCGAGGCGGTCTCTCTCCTCTTCATCTGGCTCCCAACCGCACAGCAGCAGCAGCAGCAAGAAGTTACCTACTCCCATCATGATAAGTGATTTCTCAGCTGTGTCTCCAAAGGTGTATCCCCATACCTGCTCCCTGTGCCACACTCAGTGTGATCAGGAAAAGGTGAGTGCCAAAAATGCCCTCGTAATGATTTCTGAAAGGAAAACCCTCATATTTGTATGTTAGCTTTTATCCTACATTACACCAGGCCGTTAGAGACGACAGTGATTATGTTGTCATTTACGTTGTGTTTTACATGTTTTTTTTTTCTCCACTGAAATAGTTGGGAACTGTTGCTATAATGACCCACCTAGCTTGTAGAAGCAAACCGTTGAAATAATCAATACAAACTATTTATACCCTACATTGTGGTGACTGCATTGTGGCCACCATCATGCCTGGTAGATATTAGTGAGGGCTGAAGTGAGTTCCGATGCAAGCACTGCTAATTGCTGATAAAACACTTAATACAATCTTCTCATGTCTCTTGTTTTTGGTGGAACAATTATTGAATTGTTCCATTAAGAACATTTTTTAACACTAAACTCACAAAGTTGGGTTTTTAAACTTATATAAGGCTAAAATATGTCCTTTATTCAACAGCGATTTCAGTTTTTCTCTAGAAAGTCCAGTGTTCTGGTTTCTCATGTTCCTCAAATGGTGTTGGTTTGACAATAAGGAGAAGACAATAACTTCTTTTTTTTTTATCCTTTTACGTTCCTTCAGTAATGTTACAGTAATTACTTGTAGGTGAGTGGGACTATCTTATTATTAATGCCAAGGGTGACATTTAAAAACGGTCCAGTACATGTGGAACCAATTTAAATGCCATTATGTCAGCCCTATTTCATGAATCTATTGGTCTAAAGGTTTCCCTCACATCTACAAAAATGTCCTTATCAAAAATAATAAGCATTCTACCCTAATGAATAGTGGTCGCTTAAGGCCTGTGCCATCATAGTGCCTTTTCTGAGCTTTTTCTAATTGATTCAAATCAGAACAGAGCACATGCCCTCGCATGCAGCCGCCTCGTGAAGAAGCACTCAACCCAGAAACTTTTTTCGGAAGCACTCCGCTATTTTTGTGTGGCCACTTCAGGAGCTTTGAGTTGGAAATATTTTCACTCTCAGATGAGTGCAGTGATGTCACTGTAGAAATAGGAGGAGAGGCTTGTTTTTGGTTTGGTGTGTCTTTCCAGACAGAAACCCTCAAACAAAGACAGAAAAGCCCATCTGTGTGGTGTGAACTTTTACCAGCGTGCAAGGATCGTACTCCCCCGCTCTAGGCTGACAGACTGAGACCCTGGCAAGCCTATTTTCCTGCCAGTAGAGGCGCTATGTGGACACATGCCCTAAATTGATTGATCAATTATATATACTGCGCCTCTGGAGAAAGTAAACTAGTTAAAGATAGGGATTTTTTTTTTATTTTGTACTTGGCTGTCTTGAATTCCATATAGCATAGGTAACAGATTGGTGGATGAACAGATCATAAGGTAATAATTTTGTTGATAATATTGTTTGATTTGTGGTCATTACTTGGGACATAATAGTTAACCGAACAGCATTTGTCCAAGAAGATTAAAAATATTTGTTTTCTGCTAGTGTAGTGTGTTTAATGGGGTAAACTTATGGTCACAGTGAAGATAATGGAAAGTAAACAATAATTAGTATTGAAACTAAAGGAACAAAGATCCAATCATGCTTCTGTCTCTGTACTTACTATTTATACTACTAATTATTTCAATGTAGATTGGCCTGGTAAACGGTTGCTTACTCATTTGTTAACTTTATACCTGTGAATTGTGATAATAGTTTTGTGCTGAATATTTATGTTGGTGTCAGATTGTGATATATTCCTCTCACCATTTGTCGTTTTTCTGCAGGACGGGTTTTACCATATAAACACCGTCAACCACACTGCTGCCTACAGAGACCTGCCTCAACAAGTGAGGGCCTACTAATGTTCTGCTAAAGTCTTAAATTCATCAGTATATATTCACGATTATGCTGTAGCTACTCAGAAAAAAACGTGTGTCAACATTAAAAATATAATTTCTAAAGAGAATGAAACAAAAATATGGGAAACACAACCCAGAGATGCTCTTAATGCTTTTGGTTAAATGGTCTTCTTTCACATCCAGAAGGGTGTACTACCAATTAGTCAGTTTAGGAGGCATGTTGACCAACACAAGCGTTTTCTGTTTTACCAAGGTGGCCCTGGACCAGGTTCAGAGTTTAGGCTTGAAATTAGCACTAACTAGATCCTTTGAAAATAACCTGGCTTTATAGTCAATCTATAAGTGGTAGCTATACTCCAGCTGAGGGAATCATTTTTTAAAATGTAATCATGTTGAGCCATAAGATCACATTAATGCTACTAAGTTAAAGCCTCACAATTACAGTAGCACATACTGTATGCATCGCACTACCTTTCCTTCTCCGCTGCAACCTAGCCATTGGCCAAAACTGTCTTTAAAATGTATTTCCTATAAATGTGCAGCTGGCATACATTTATAATCATCTGTAGTATTCGGTATTCATTTTTGTGTGACGTTGTGTTTATAAGGTGCACCTTTTGCTGGTTTAGTCCACTGTACCCTGATAGAAAATTCCTCGGTCTTAAGCTTTCTAAGGTCTACATTTCCCCCAGCTCTCTGGCACAGCTTAAGCTGGACTTGCTTCTGGCGCTACCTTTTTTCTTGGGGATTTTTAAGGGGAGTGAGTGTCAAAAATACAACTGATGTGCAGCTGTACAATCAAAACGGAAAAGAAAAGGATTTGTGTGTGTGTGTGTGTGTGTGTGTGTGTGTGTGTGTGTGTGTGTGTGTGTGTGTGTGTGTGGGTGTGTGTGTGTGTGTGTGTTTGTGTGTGTGTGTGTGTGTGTGTGTGTGTGTGTGTGTGTGTGTGTGTTGTGTGTGTGTGTGTGTGTGTGTGTGTGTGTGTGTGTGTGTGTGTGTGTGTGTGGTGTGGTGTGTGTGTGTGTGTGTGTGTGTGTGTGTGTGTGTGTGTGTGTGTGTGTGTGTGTGTGTGTGTGTTTGGTGTGTGTGTGTGTGGTGTGTGTGGTGTGTGGTGTGTGGTGTGTGGTGTGTGTGTGTGTGTGTGTGTGTGTGTGTGTGTGTGTGTGTGTGTGTGTGTGTGGTGTGTGGTGTGTGTGTGTGTGTGTGTGTGTGTGTGTGTGTGGTGTGTGTGTGTGTGTGTGTGTGTAGGTACCCTGACTGGCCCCCTCCACCCGGTGAGTTATACTCTTGTTGTTATGTTTCCAATAATCAGTTTTTAGCTGTGTCAGTCCCCACCCTTCCGGCCTTGACACAGATCATTTCGTTCTCCCTTTCCAAAAAGTATTATTAATTTGTTTTACATTTCTTGTGAATAAATGGGTTAGTGTATAAGTGAAGTATAGTTATTTTCATGTTTTAGAACCTAAAATATCATGCTTCCTACATTTTTCTTTCCCATCATTATTTTGCTCGCTACCTCATAATAGTTCTACATTTGTGCACTTGAATATGCAAATTGTATTAACAACAGTTTAGATGCCCTCACCAGTTCTTCCACTTGATGAATGTTTTCTTTAATCCATTAGGGGCGGACGACAGGGCAGCTCTCCATCCCACTCCGTGCCGAGGTCCCTCTCTGGTTCTCCTCCTGCTGGCAGACGCAGGCTCGGGCCCCATAGGCCGCACACCAGGCCGTACTCGCCTCACCAGCCTCGACACCAACCCTACACAGGTAGACTGTCTGCAAGAGAGTGACTCAACAAATTGGGGACATGTCAAACTTACTGCAAGAATTCCAATAATGTTAATAACATGTCATGAAGATTTTATATTAAATATCATTTTAGGATTTAGAAATGTATTGAAATAGGCTTTTCTCTCTAATTTAGTATCCTTTGTTTACTTTAAACCTTACTACTAAAGGTACATTCATACTTAGCTGTGTTTGAATAAAAATACTGATTTAATTGTTTTAGTTTAGGTGAGCACTGCTCATTCATTATTGAACATATGGATTGCTTTAGACTCGGTAACATATGACTGGGATGAGGGACTCAACCATGTTCTTTTGCTCTCCTCAGAGCACAGCTATCGACCCGGCTCTCGCAGCCCCACTCGATCACACCAAGTCCCCCTTTCTTCAGAGAGAACCGGCCTGAAAGGAGAGACAGGGTGGCATCAGGTAATGACTTCAAGATTTGGAGACAACCATTTATTTGTTTGAAAATGTATAAACATATCCTGGCTTCATTCAACCTGTTTAAATTAGATCAACTTTATTTTTCCAAAATTCAAAAAGCGTTTTGTCAAAGCAGCATGTTAACAAAAATGAGTTAAAATAAAACAATAAAAAAAAAATACAAAACAAACAATAAATATACACATATCAACAGTAGAAAGATATATATATATATATATTAGGGCTGTCAAGTTAACGTGTTAATACGGAGCCCTGGAGGGTTCATAGAGAGAAAAATAAATAAAACGTGGCCACGTTTTACTTTCTCGTTCGCACGAGTTAATAAGCGTGGCCTCGTTTTATTTAAATTGAGGGATTCCTGTCCGTGACTCACAGTATCTGCTGCCCACAGCTGTTTTATAGAAGGAAAACCTCCTTCACTTTATGAAATCTCTGCGGCACCAGTGGCCTGTACTACGAAGCAGGATTTGCTATTTACACTATTCATTCATGAAGTATGACGCTGCGCTGTCAGCACGCGTCTCCATGTTTTGATTGGTCAAATGTTGCTAACCCCGTCCCTTTCACATGAGCGCGCTCTCAGCCGGACAGAGAAACCCTGGTTGATTTACTGAGTTGATAACCAGCTTCGTAGGACCGCTTAGCGACATCGCGTTTGTTAGGGTTAGTTAAGCCGGGTAAATCAACCATATCCAGGGTCTGTTGAACTGGCTTCGTCGTACAGGGCACTGGAGGCAGTAACGTGTAACTCAGCAGAATCTGAGAAGAGAGCACCAGCTGCAAAGAGCTGTGCCTTTTACTGTTTACTTCACTAGAACCGCTGAATAGAGATCGAGGCTGCTACGTTTAACCACACGCAAACAAAAATTATAATAACTAATTATTTTAACGCATATGGAACGGAACACATTTGTGTGTGCATTGAAAAACACAAGTGTGAATCCTTCTGTGTGCATGTGTATTATGAGACTGTTCTGAGCCCATACAGGGTTCAGTCCGGATTGATTTGCAGCTCGGTCCGGAGTTTGAGAAGCCCTGATCTACAGTATGCACAATATGAAATACACAGAATATTTAGTACTCTATAAGAGACCGAATGGTCTCTTACGAAGTATACTTCTAAAATATAGAATAATGAGGTAGAATATATACATTATAATATTGGGCAAAGTAGTTGCCGTTTTCTATAAATAAATGTAGAACAACACAGGCTTACATCCCAGATTAGAAAACCCCAGAGGAACTGTTCACAAAAGCTTTAAACGATCAACCATTTGCTTTCTTTATCTTTTCATATGCAGGAAATTAATCGTTTTTCTGCTTTTAATTTCATTGTAAAATGAATTATTTGAACCCTGTCCTTCTCCCTCTAATTCATGATCAGGGAGTTACGCTCGCTGTGGTGTGAAGCGTCCACATGATGACATCAGCCGACATCCGTCCTCCTTTAGGGGGTCAGGGCTTCAAGCATGGGCCGCCACATTCCTTGGGCAAACCTTTCAACAAAACGTTCAAGAGCGGACGCAGGCCTGGAACAAAGACGACCAAGACAACAAGTGCCAAGCCTCCTGGAGCTGTAGGTGTTTTTCACACGAGTTGTGCGACGCTTCATAAAGAAGTCTGCTCTTTTGTCTGCCGCATTTTCACAGCTAATTGTGTGGATTAAAAGGAAGGGTACATCGTACAGATGTTTTTGAGTGCAACAATGAACACAACACAAAAACACCTGCTAGTGTGTCTGAAATCAACTGTGTTCATTTAGTGGCTTTGTCTGAGTTTAGTGACTCATTGGTAAAGTGAAATATCGATTGACACAGTCAATGTGATATCAGTAAACAAACAGTAACAGGAAACATTTTTGAACTATTCATCTTTGAAATCAGTCCAGTAGATACTAACTTTAACATCGTTTTAGGTGTTGCCAATAGGACCTTAAGCATTTGTTTTTAAGTGAAGCTTGCAGATGATTTCTAGAAATAATTAACTTCTAATGAGTTAATACAGTATATTATAAGTTAATATCAACATTCTAAAGACCACTAAAATGCTATTGTGACAAATTCAGAGTGCAGTACTTGATATTGTCCGGTTTTCTCTAAAATGTAATGTGTTTTCTTGCTGGTTTCCAGTGTGCCAAGCTTCCACCACCAGCCAAGAAAAGAAGAAAATGGGTTTTGGGTGTCTGGTTTATCTGACTGGCATCCCAAAGGATGCATCTGAACAGGAAGTGACTGACCTGGTGGGGTCCTTCGGCAAGATCAACAACGTGATCCTCATGCCAAGCTCTGAGGAAGAGAGCGAGAAGGACGAAGGGCAGAAGGTGATATTTATGTGTGACATAATGGTTATTGGTGATTTGGAAAGAAATGAGCTATTAAGGGAATTATACAAAGTCGTTTTTTGTTCATTCATTAATTATGTGAATATTACAGAAAAGGCTTTAACATACCAGCACATTTTGGCCATTTCTTCAGGTTGTGCACACTTTATAACATCGTCACATTCCCCTGTTGCAGGCATCTGTTTGCATGATGAGTGCTGAAGATGCCCTGGCTCTGGCCAACTCCACACATCTCTCCATTAGAGACCAACAGATCACTTCTTTAACAGCCAAGGTACCTTCAATCACAATATTATAATTAAACATCATTATATTTATTATTTATAATAAAACATTAATGGCATATCTATCATTAAACCTTGTGATACATGGAAAACATCGAGCTTCCACCAAGAAGCCTTTGTTTTGGACACATGTATGTCATCTCATGCACACTTTCAGTTAACACATTCTATTTCTATGTTTTAGAAACCTGAAATAGTATGGCCTTCTGAAGCTAACAGGTTTGTTACAGCTATCTTCTTTAGCATTTCCCGTATTAACCCCGGATGGTTACAATACCAATTTTCGAACTCTTCTGGTTTCATTCAACTATTTCTATTTGTTCACAGCATACCTGCTCCAGGACCGGACAGTGGTGCTGCTGGGCCAGACTATGGTAGGACAAGTAGCAGAGACTCAATATCCACCAATAAAATAAGTCATGGCTGATATATCCCGTAGCTTATTCTGCAGGTACAAAACCATGTACTTGACTTGCAGCCAAGTCAGGCACAAACATCCTTCTAACACTATGAAGTGAGTTCAACAGAGCCAGGGTGTCTTTGACTCCGCTGGCTACAAACCAAAACCCCTGTTCAGAGATAAGTGGTACGACGAAGGTGGTTATCAACTGTTTTTGTGAAGCCAGGCTTTCCTCCTCAGGCTCTGTGCTTGTTCACATAAAAAGCTGCGTTTTGTGCGTCATTTGAGTCATGAACCGCATGAAAGCAATTGATAGCCGCCTATTGCTGCCTTATAAGAATACAACAAATTAAAACACAGCATAAGCCAACCTGTTACTTCAAAAAGGAGATGACTATTGGAAGAAATGTACTAATCTGTAAACACATGAGAAATGTATTCAATTTACCACTCGATGCAATCTGTGCCTCCGGTTTATTCTATAAGCTTGATTCAGCAGATTCAAACCACAGATATTTAAAATTGCATATATGTGGTTGGACAGTGTCCTTTTTGGAATGAAATGTGTTGATTAAATGACATCTGTGATACAATAGACATATCAATGTTCTAATCGGCTTTGTATTAGCTGCAATATAATAATAATATATTCTGCTAAGAATATTTACCCCTCATAGATTGAATACAAAGGCACGCTAGCTAAAGGAACTAGTTGGTAAACAGCGAAGTTGGCTGATTTCAAGCCTAAACTCTGAACATAACCTGATCTGGAGCAGGTTATTTCTGCAGCATAAGTTCCCCTTTGGTTCTCCTCCTCCTCAGTGGAGTTTTTGGACCTGGAAACCTCACAAACATGGCCTCAGCCACACTTCCCAAGCTCACCCTCATCCAAGTGTCACTGACAGCCGTAAGTCTGATAATACGACCACCAAGTCAATTAACAATCTGCTACCAGGGCATTTATGAATAACCCTGCCCATCTCCAGAAGTTTAGTTCCTAACCCTTTTTATAGAGGTTAGCCCAACTATATCTAGGTGGTAGCAATCCACCTCGCTCACTATCTGTCTGCCCTCAACCTGCTGCTTGGCTCACAATGCAACTGACCCCTGTGAATTGTGGTCCCACAGGGCTATGCACATGCTCACATATTAGTGGGGTTGTGGTTTTTGAAAATGTTCTAATGTAGCTCTCTCTGCTCTTGGCCCTGATCTCCTCCCTCATGTTCTATTGCAGGAGCTGATTCTGACAAGAAGACGTCTGATGAGGTACACGATCACACATACCCTGTATAACATCATTATTGTGTGCTCATCTCCTGCTGAGTGTCAAACAAACTCTCAAGCTGACGCATTCTGCCTTATTGTACCTGGATGTGCAATCCAGGTTTTTTTTGTAATAATACAATCATGGTATTAAATCATTTGGCATCCCATTTAACTTCCAATACATCTCTGCCACAGAAGGCCATGGTGTTGATCACAGGACTTCCTGAGAGCGGCTGGTCAGAGAACAGCATCATTAGCTGGTGCAGCCCTTTGGAACTCCCTCTGACATCATCCAGGCACACACATCGGAAAGGTTGGACACAGTTTCATCTGAAGCTGTTGCTGTTTCCCGGAGGGGAGACACACAACAGGATAGCAGTAAAAGAAGCTAAAACACGTATTCTAAGTACCTTGTTTTTGCAAGATAGTCCACTTTCTGTTTTGGCTGCAAAGCTGTGTAATAGAAATGTCCAAATAAATGATTTGTTTTATTTGTATATGTTTGTAACAAACGTTGATGTGCGTATAACTAATATGAAACATT